AGAGAGGAGTGTGTGTGTGTGTTTGGATTTGGCTTTGTTTTCCACCAGCAGACTCATGTTTATGGAACTGCCTAAGCAACAGAGATCTCACAATTGGCCCCAGCAACAGTGTCCCTGAAAGGAGCAGGAGAAAGGAGAGGGCCTGGACGGCTTAGCCAGACACCGTATGCCCACACTGCGATTAAGAAACCTACAACTGCCCTGTGACAGCTGACCTGGGCTATGGGGCTGTTTAATTGTGGTGTAGACAGGCGGCAGCCCAGGCTCTGGGACCCTCCCACCTCAGATGTCTATGCTGCAATTAAACTGCTCCTTACCATGAGTCAGCGAGCATGGACCAGCTGCAGGTGTCTAAAACTGCAGTGTAGACATACCCACCGTGTCCCCTGATGGAGGGCATCATGCTGCACAATCCCTCTTGCACATAGTAGCTGCAGCAGCGCGAACACACACTGCATCAGGAGGGAGGGAAGAATTTATCTGTTTTGTAGCATTCTGACTGGGGCAGGGAGAAGAATCTGCATTTCGGAAAAGTTTTGCTTTGGTAAATTCTATCACTTCTCTTTCCATGACCTGCCTTGGGTAGAGGGGACAGTCAGCTCAGGAGCTGGGCCAGTGGAGCAGAGGGGCACCGTTAGGTGATTGCAGGTCAGTGCAGTGGGGACAGTCCTGAGACGCTTTGTTTCACCTTCGTGGCCCAGTTAGGCATGCACTGGCCACTGTCCTGAGGGCCCTGAACATCTGGCTCTCCCAGCTCTAGGCGCGTGGTGGGGCAAGAGGGGCCAGGAGAGAGGCAATCAACCTGCACACAGTGACCCCAGAATCAAAAAGAGGTTTGTGGGGTAAAACCAAATGATGCTGCTTGAATCCAGGCCAGGGAGCACGTATCTGAAAGCAGGTCCCTGGGCCAAAACCACACTCTTCCCCACAGAATATCAGGGTTGGAAGGGACCTCAGGAGGTCATCTAGTCCAAACCCCTGCTCAAAGCAGGACTAATCCCCATTTTTTGCCCCAGATCCCTAAATGGCCCCCCTCAAGGATTGAACTCACAACCCTGGGTTTAGCAGGCCAATGCTCAAACCACTGAGCTATCCCTCCCCCCTTATATAGAAGGCTAAATCTGGTCTGATTTACACCCTGTGCAACTGCTTTGATCTCAGGCACATAGCAGTGGGAGCTCAGGCAGAATCAGTCTCATAATAGCTATTCTCAGCCTGCCATTTATTTTCCTGCTCCTGGGGACTGGCATTACCAAGCTGTGGAGGGGATAGGCGCACCACAGGCTGGAGCGCCTGACACTGAGCACGTTACTGCTCGCCACCCAGCACCAGCCACTTCCCTCTCACCCAAAGCTTTCAAGTCTCCTGCTCCTGAGAGCAATGCTCCTCTCACGAGGAAAATGAAATCCTGGGTCAGACGCTGCAGACAAGGCTGTCGGCAAAGTCAGAAGGGAGGGAGATGTACATGCCGGAAAGCTGTCAGTTCAGGCATTAGATACCTGGGCAATAACAGCCGGACACTCCTCTCCTTGTAGAGGCATTAACTGAAATGAGCAGTAGGATGTTCCTTCCAGAAACCCACCCCCTTTCTATGCCCCAAAGTGCAGCTTTCCCATGAGTTATTCCAACTCTTTCCTATTTTAGAATTCACCTAAAAAAGCCACATTCCTTTAAAAAAAATTATCCTAAAATGAGCAATACTAGAGACACTTAGGTTTCTCAGCCTGTTTAATACTGCCTCCTGCTGTCCAAATGCCAATATTTCAGCCTGCTGCCCCTCTTTTTATCACCTTATACCAAGCAACGGTTGCAGTTTCCAAAGCATTGCAGGGATTTAGCCACGCGCCCGTCGTTAAAATGAATAGGAGATGTGTAACTAAACGCTATGGACTGCAATGGAAAGAGTCTCAGACTCAGCTAGGGGGGACGCTTGAAGCTCTTAGGCTGTACTTTCAACCTGGGAACTGTTCATATGAAATCAGAACATGTCATCAAGGCAGTTGTATTTTGACTGCATGTGAAGCAAGCCAGAGGCTGGACAGATGAATGGCAGGTGGGGAGAGACCACTGAGCCCCACAAACCAGGAGGGAGGCCACTTTGTGCACTTCTCAGCACAACAAGAGTCAAAGACAGACCCGAAAAGGAAAGTGCAGCAGCAGGGATAAAGTCTCCAAGCTGGCAACTCTTCAGCGCTATGTTTAAAATGCTAAAGCATCAGGGAGACAGAGTGACAGGGCACTCATGGCATAAACTCTGCAGCCAGAAAGCACCCAACAGTTCAGGTCTGCACTTTTAATTTAGGAGCACCAAATGTATCAGACACACCCTATACATAAAACGCTATCACTCAGCAGGGTGCTGCTGTCCCCTTTAGGAGCTGTCCACCAATTACACAATATATTGGGGGTGGGTGAATCCTTCATTTTGCATGAGTGTTTGTATCAGTGTTACAAGGGGGGGGGTGTTCAGAAACCACCAGAAGATGTGTTATGTAAAGTACAGATAGCCTGACACATTTTTATATGGTCTAAATGCTCCATTGTCTTCTGATTCCCCGACAAGGGCTGGAAGACATGCCCGGTGCCTGGAGAGGCATGTGGTGATGGAGAGAGAGAACCTGCTCACTGAACAAGCAGGCTTTCGCCAGTTTGTGCTGCTGCATATGGCTGCATCGATAGCAGGACACTTAGGCGAAATCCCAAAGGCCTTACTCAGACAATGGGCTGAATTCTGCCATATCAGTGCAGCCACTTCCGAGTTACACCAGAGTTCCTAGCCAAGTTTTGTCCAGTAGCCGTAAGGAGTGAGTAAGAACTGCATCAGGATTTGGCCCTTCGTTAGGAGCAATAGAGTGGGAAGCGATGGAAGAATGCCCCAGAACCGAAGCACTGTATGGGGAGTATCTAGATAGGAATCCAGTGGAGGTTCCTTATCTGGTTGTGCCACTCGCTTATGCTACATGGATGTTTAAAGAATTCTCAGGCTACTATAAAAACCTCAGAGCAGCAGTTACTTGGATTCCACAAATGGGTCAGCTTGGGTCCCACCCCTGGGCTCTCCCCCTCCCTGCATGGTACAAACCCTGCCAGCACGATTACAAATGCAGGCTGCATTATGGCGCTGCAGTCAGTCACTCACCTTACCACAGATGTCATTAATAGCTACATGAACAAAGATGGATGCCTCTTCTATGCCTTCCAGGTACACGTGCCGATAGCCTGAAACACAGAGCGAGCAGAGATGAGCGCCTCCTGTCGCTACAGACTTTCCATTTCTAACCACAGGAGGGAAAAATTTAACAAGCTTTCTATGGCCATGTCCAACCGCTGAGCACTCAGGCTTGAACATCACCTTGCCACACTTGATTTGTGTGAGAGCAATATGCCATTTACAAAGTTTACTGGTGTTTTCCCCTGTCCCTTCCTTATTATAGAAAAAAAAAAGTCACCCTAATTTTCCCACTTTACACTTTTGCTGCTGTCAATTCTGCAATGCAAATTGATTAGCTCATCCCTGGCAGACTTGGGGCCATTATTAATTCTTCAGCAGACGTTACTCTCATTACCCAGATGGGGGTTGTGGGATCCGGCCCCTGAATAAACCTAAGTTTCCTCTGTTCTGATGGGTAAAAGCACCCTGTGGGTGCAGCTGTTTTCTTTATGTGAAATAAGATTGCGCAAAAAGCACAAAATAGTCAGAAAAAAAACCCCCAAAACAACCACCCCCCCAAATAAAAACACAAACAAATCTCCAGAGCTCACCGGCAGCCCAACCAGCAGCCTACTTTACACTCAGCTAGCACAGGCAATAACTGTGGCCACTGGTGAGCTGCCAGCAAACACAAGACCAAATGCGACTCCAGCTTTGTTCAGGAAGGCTTTCGACGTTTGTCCCACTGTCTACGGAAGTCACCGTATCTCACTTATGCTGTCAAAAGCCAAACAGTGGCCAAATAAAAATAATACATTTGAGAAAAAAAAATAAAAGTTGTAGCACAACAGGACAGAAAGAAATGGACCATTTACTGTCGCCTTTCCAGTCCAGCATGCATAGCTATATAGTGCTTTCCTAGTTCCTGCCTGATCCCCTGCACTTCTACCCAAGAGCACTTTTAAACCTGAGCATTGTAAGGCATTCACTGATTAAGCTGCATAACATGCCTGTGACAGAGGCAAGTATTAGCATCCCCATTTTACAAGTGGGAAAACTGAGGCACAAGGGACCATATTTTCCAAAAGAGCTCAACACCAGTGTCCACAGAAGTGCCTAAATAAGTAGCTAGAATTTGTTCTCAGTGAGAACTTCTGGACACTGAGCACCTTTGAAAATCCGGCCAGAGGAGGGTAAGTGACTTGGTCATGGTCACAGGATGAGTTAGTGACAGATGTGGGTACAGAACCCAGGAGTCCTGAATACCCAGTCTCCTGCTCTAGCCACTGGCTCACGACTCCTCCCCAGTGCAGATTCATATTTATGTGCACGTGGTAAAGCTACCCTTGGGTATATTTTAATTGTCACAATTTTATAAAACAAGGCCTCAGCCAATCAATCCTGTAGGTCATCAAGACAGAGAGCACGGCCCTACCTGGCATCATGCTGGTAAAAGCTATCGTCCTCTGTCCAATGAAATCCCGCCCAATTGGATCATGATCCCACACCAGAAAGCGAATCAGTGCAATCTCTGGCATGTGCACTGTGAACACCAGAGTCTCCTCCCACATTGGATTGAAACCTGGGAATTGGAGAATCAGCTTTTGTTATTTATATTGCAGCAGCCCCAAGCAGCCCCAGCTACAGACCAGAAACCCATTTAGTTCTTGCTATATTGTTCTGAAGATCCATCAATTCCTACATAGCAATGGTCACTCTAATTGACCATAAAGACTTTGGTTCTGTATTCCTTGCACATCTGGAACTCCCACTCATATCAGTTGGAGCTGCGATGGTATAAGAAACACAGGATTTTAATGTCTCTCAAACATTTTTATCTTCTCCGAAGGTCTACCAAGTGGGAGAACAAGGAATGGATAAACCTAAGAAGTTGCTGGCTTCCAGTCTCCTGTCCTGACCACTAATGAAGAGGAGTGTGACATAAATATACAGACTGATCTGTGTGTCTGATCTCATTGCATCAAGACTGTAATTACACAACACTCCCTTACCTAGGCCCTGATTCAGCAAAACACATAGGAACAACGTGTAATCAATCGTCACTGAAGTTAACAACACTTAAGCATGTGCTAAATGCTTTGCTGCAATGGATCCCAAGTTTGGCCCATTTTGCCTCCGTGTGACAAAATGACCCTTCGAACTTCATGTCCAAGTGTGTAATAGATGACAAGGGGGAAATAAAACAAACAAAACACCCAAACCATGGTCTTACCATTGTCATCAACTACTCTAGTTTGCTCTTTGTAGCAGTCCACTGGTAACCCTATGATCTCTACCTCTACAAATGGATCTATAATCTGGAAAAGAGAAAGGAAAGAATATTTAAAAAAATGAAAAAGATAGAAATCAAGTAATATCCTTAGCTTCACCACACGGGCATCACACGCTATTGCAGATGAAACAGCCAGGGTCATATGGGTAACTTGTTGCTTTGCTGCTAAAAGATGTAGGACTACATCACATTAAAAAAATATAATAACCTTCATCATCATGATGTGACTACTTCCCCACTGATTCAAAATGGGTGTTAGAGCTTACAGCAAGTTAACAGTTCTCTCTATTTGAATAACTTTCAACTCAGTGTACATCTAAGAAGAAGCTTTAAGAATTTCTTCAGGTGGTCACCATTGCAAAGAAGTTGTAAAGAGACAGCTTGCAAGACAACATAAACTGAGCGAGTTCAGGGAACTTCTGGTTGTGGAAGATCTGGGTGACTAGAGAAGCAGCCTGATCCAGTGAATAAAACAACGGATTACGATTCGGGACATGTGGGTTCTGCTCTAGTCTCTGATCATGGGCAAATTACTTCTGCTCTCTGTGCCTCCTTTCCCCCTCCTGCTATCAGTTTAAACTGAAGATCTTCATGACAGGGCATGTGTCTTGCTGGGTGTCTATAGCTGTCTAGAACAATGGAGCCATGATCTCAGTTGGGACTTCTAGGACCTAAAATTAAGAATAGTGGGGATGAAGAATAGTAATTTAACAATTAGTTAGATCCTAGGAAAGCTTGCTACTGCTTTCAGTCAGTGTATGCTGAACACAGAGTACGTACAACCACCGTTCAATACAGTCTCAGCAGGGAGAAGAGCCTTTCAAGTAATTGCTCTCCAAGAAACTGACAAAAACTATAAGGAATCATCTCAAATCTGAGACCAGCTAAATTGGGATGACAAAAGCAAAACAAAACACAGAGTGGCTGGACTGAGTAATGGTTATATGCTAGAGTTTTGGTGTTCAGCAGAAAACAAATGTTCAGCACTCGGGATACTTTGTCACTAAAGAAAAACACAAGTGTCTTACCTCCCTCCTTACTGCTTGCAAGACAGCTGAATGTTCAGTACATATGAACCTTGTTCATATAGCTCTATTCTGCAAAAGGCTCTGGGGCAGGGCCTCTCTTTTCACAACGTGTATATAGTACCTAGGACAACGAGGCCCTGATAACTGATTGGGGCCTCTAGGTCGTACCACACGGCCAATAAAATAAAGGGTGGGGTTTCCAAAAGCAGCTAAGGGATTGTCTACACTTGAAATTCTACAGCAGCACAGCTGCAGCATGTCAGTGGAGACACTATCTCTGCCAACGGGAGGGGTTCTCCCATCCCTGCAGTTAATCTACCTCCTTGAGAGACAGTAGCTAGGTCGACGGAAGAATTCTTCCACTGACCCAGCACTGTCTACACAGCGAAGTTAGGTGGGCTTAACTACATTGGTCAGGGGTGAGTGTTTTTCCATGCCCGGAGCAATGTAGGTAGGTCAACCGAACTTTTTAGTGTAGGTCAGGCCTGAGGGACTTTAGGGCACATGGGTCAATGGTGTTTCTAAGTCATGTAGGGCACGTATCCAAACATTTCATTTCAACTTTATTGTTTTGACTTTTCTATTCTATAAGAAGTTGCCTATTTCATTTTGTGAAAAAAAATTCCAAGGTAGATTTTTCATCCTGATTTGGGACAAAAACAAATGCTGAAATATTGTAATTTCCCATGGGATGGAATTACCAAGTTTCTACCAGATATACAGACCATCATGGTTGCTGGAATCCAGAGTTTTGGGGCAACCCCCACTCAATTATTTTCTGCTTTTTCCCACCCTCAACCTTTCCCCTGTTTTGTTTTTAAAAAACTTTATTAGTGAACTATTCCTGCCAAAAGGACCCATTTGTCACCACCCTCTGCTTGTGACATCACAAACCCCCCCAGAGAATTAACTGTGATGTCAAAAAGTGAGGTTTGCCTCACTTGAGGGTGGGGAATAGACAGGCAGGAGAGAAAAGAGATGAACATTCTGAGGAGAAGACAACCTGTGCACAGCCTAAGTGCCCTTGGCAATAAAAAAGGGAAGTGAAAGGAAGATGTTGACTCATTATTTTCTATGTGGAGCCCATAGCCCATTAATCTTTCAATATTAGCAGCTCCTCCCACCCCACCAATAAATATTGTTTGTATTACAGGAGCACCTAGAGGCTGCACCTGAGATCAAGGCCCCATTGTGCTAGGCGCTGCAGAGATGCAGAGACAGTCCCTATCCCAAAGAGCTTTCACTCTCTGCACACAAGACAGACAAAAGGTGGGGAAAAGGGAGACTATTATCCCAGTTTCAGAGACGGGGACCTGGGGCACAGGGAGGTTATGTGACTTGCCCAACAGTGAGTTTGTGGAAAAACTAGGACTGAAATCTGTATCTCTAAGGGGACAATCCAACAATTCAACCGCATACCATCCTGCTGCTTCTGGCCAGAATCTTCATTTGGATTATGACAGCCATTCCAGACTGATACATCTCTAAACACTAAGCATTCAGGGAAAGAGTATTTCAAAGTATTCGTGACAAATCCAAGCATTTCAGAACCACTCAGAGGTTCGGTTCTAGTTCTAATGGGCTAAAGGCTCGAGGGGAAGTTTTATTAGGAGCTAGTTGCTCGGTCTTCACATTTCTGAAAACTAATGTTTAATTAATATAGGCACACTGGCCATACTCCACAAGCATTCCATATAGAACAGCAGAAGAAATAAAAAGCCCCAACACTGTCAAGAGGCTAAATTTTTTGCTCATTACGGACTGGCTGATTTTGCTTCAATTAGAGTTGCCAGAGGCTTTCAAAGAACAAGCACTCACACAGGCAGAGGACAAGAGGGACCCTCAAGTAGCTTCATTTGTCCTGCTGACGAGCTCAGCAGTTTTGTGCACGTTTAGGGGACGCAGGGTTTTGCTGGCTCTGTTTTGGAGTTTAAGAGCACTGCAGTGAATAGGGACCCATCACAGTAATCAAGCATCTTGGCTTTTCCTACACATCCTAGAGGCACTGTATGAGAATAAGGCAAAATGGACTAGCTCCACAATGCTTAAGGGAGGAAAGGCACCTGGTGCTCTTTGAAGCTAATGAGCTGCATGATATATTCCAAGTGAAGCTCAGTGTTTCCCCACAGAAACAAATGCAGGAAGTTAAGGCCTTGTCCAGACCAGCTCCCAGAGAGACAGACACTCTCGGATAGGAGAGCCTCATCCCTCGTTCAGCATTCCCACCTCTCCTCTGTCTCCCAGCATGGAGTCCCGGGGCTTCGGTAGCTGTTGCCCGCTGATTATCCTCAACACCAGCTGCTTCTTCAATTGATTGGGGAGCGGGTCTTCAGAATTTGGGTTAAAGACACCTGTGGGGCAAGAATCCGCAGAACATAAAGGAGGTCTGGTGCTATTTTAGGGATGGTGACATTTTCCTCGAGCTCTTCCTCTCTCTTTTCCCTGCTTATTTGACTCTACAATCAGTTGTTACAAACTATACTTAGGAAGGTGCCCCACCCGGTCCCCTCAAGCACTTATAGGTACAAACATCCAAAAATGCACCATAGTCATTAACATCTTTACAAGCAGATAACACACTGGTACAGCATTCTGGATACTTTTCAGCATAGCGAGCACCAAGGACAAGTTAATTGCTTACAAAGGCAATTGGAAAAAGCTTTAGTTGCAAATATTGCATGTTACCAAATTAATCACCAGGTAGTAGGTTACTGATCTGGTGGCACTGAGAGGTGGGGCCAAACCGAAACTTGGATCTGAACACCCCATAATTGTGTGTGGTGGATTTCAAAATCCAGACCTGAATTTTATGGCTTTGGAACCAGCACCAATCGCTTTTAGATCATAAACACTGGAACTTTGCTGAGGTGAAATAATTCATAACACACTGAAACTCTCGACTTAGGATGCTAGTAAGTGCTCTACCTGACTTATACTAGAACAGAAAGAAACCATCAGTCGGCTGTTATCTGAAGTTAAAAGAGCATTTTGAAGACCAGATCAGACATGGGATAGTAATGGACTGTACTGTTGTAGAGCAGTGGGAGGAGATGGGACATTGCAATAGAGAAGATAGGATAGTAAATTCAATTTATTTAAAAGTCCAGGGTTGGGCAGATATCAAATCAATGAAGAAAAGTGGGAGTTGTTTACATATGACACCTCAAACACTAAGGTAGTATTAAAATACTTTGCTCAAGGCCACATTATTAGAAATATGCAGGATTCTAGATAAAAGGGTTACAGACAGAGATAAAATGACGAATTAAATGAGAAATCAACCCAATAAAAATGAGGGTTTCATCTTTCTCAGGGACAAATCTGCTTCAGCAGAGCCTGAAACAAACACATAGATCCTTAACAGCTGGGTGCCTTCACGGGAGATGTTCATTACGCAGCCCATACAGTGTAGTAGTGTAAGGCCTAAAGGAGGACCACACCTGCACAGACCTATGCACTCCCATAAAACATTCCACACGCACAAGGCTCTGCTTAAGAGTTGTTCTAACCATAAGCACATTAGTAAAAACAACGAGGAGTCCTTGTGATACCTTAGAGACTAACAAATTTATTTGGGCATAAGCTTTTGTGGGCTTGAACTCGATGAAGTGGGTTCTAGCCCACGAAAGCTTATGCCCAAATAAATTTGTTAGTCTGTAACGTGCCACAAGGACTCCTCGTTGTTTCTGCTGATACAGACTAACGCGGCTACCGCTCTGAAACACATTAGTGTAACTGATTTAATTAAACTAGACTTAATAAACGTGCACCCCTGGTAACTTCTGAGTGCCTATAATGGCAATTGCTGTATAATTTTTGCATGTCTGCTTTTGCAAGTAGATAAGGTTACCATGGCATTCCCTTAGGAAGTGGTAATGAACACCACAGTGATGATAAGACTGCAGTGGTGAGAACTG